CCAGGTTCTATGTCATATGTAGAAAGGATTTTTACATTTAAAGTATAGAGTTAAACATGATCGCAACTCCTCCGCTAACATTACAGCCATGATTTAATACATATTCTCCCTTCCACCACAATCCCCATTCAGACTCATTACTTGTATTACTGTGGGTTTCTTGAAGAAAACCAACTGCAATATTCTTAACATTTAAATATTCTGAAACTAAAGCCTGCTTTTTCTTATCTCTCAGACCATTAACATTTAGAGAACCTATTCTAAGATACTCCATTAGATAGAAAGGGTAGAGAGAACAGCAGAAGAAAAGGAGAAATACACACAAAAACATACAAGCCATAGTGTTCATTTAGCCTTTTCTCGAGCCCTTCTCTCATTCTCATTCCTTATACCCTGTCTTATGGTCGTTAAATACTTAAGTCTGTACCGTTTCTGTTGCAATAACACAGTATGGTTGTATGTTTTACGAACCCACACTACAGAGGCGACGAACTTTTCCTTATCAGGGAAAAAATCTCCTATATCTACCTTTCTCCCTTTAGTCTCGTCCAAAAAAGCATTTATCTGATCTACAGAGTACAAATCATCATTAGCTTTATAGAGATCTGACAAATCCGACAAACTCTCTTCATCCTGACTCTGCGTCATGATATCAGAGGCATCATCATCATCCTCCTCCACGCTCGCACACTGCACACCACTGACGTGTGGGCCGACTACACAATCAACAACAAGTTGTTCCTCTACAACTGCTGCAGTGCCATTTACACTACTACAACTCGGCTTTTCATTGTCAACATGATTTAAGTTACTCACAACGCTCTCACTCACCTCCAATCCATTGTCCTTACTCGTCTTAGCCTCCGGAGCTCCGTCCAAGCCTAACTTCTCCCCTCCTGGTTTCCGTTTTAACTCCACATCTTTAGGCACTGATAATTCATCCGTCTCACCACTAATCTTTGCTTCTGCCGAAGTTTTCTTTTGAGGGCACGAGAGTTTTTTATTTCCGAACTCTCCACATTCAAAACATCGCAAACTCTCCGTACTTGCAAATATCAGATACGAACTAGGGCTGGGCGATATGACTGAAAACTGTATCACGATATCAGTGTTTCATATCGGTCGATATCGATAATTATTGATTTTTTATGACCCATTTAAAATAAGGACCAGGAGAAAAAATATATTACATTTAAACATTTTTATTTTAAACTTAACCTTCCTCTGATTACAATCCCAAGACAGAAATGTCAACACAACCATGGAAAACTCAAATAATTAAAATGTAAACATAAGTCTAAATTCACAATCAGACCTGCAAACTCCTCAGAGTAAAAAAGGTGACAGTGGCGCGGCGGGACGTGGGTGGTGGGGGGTTGTGATCGTACGTGCCCCCCGCTTGATTTTTTTTTTAGACATCACGGTTCGGTACGATTTCGGCACAATGGAGTGAAAAGCAAAACAGAAATATAGAAGGCATTTTTATAAATGTCTTAAGCCTTGTATTTTTTAAATAAGTTTTATTAATAAAGGCATAGAACCAGTTTAGTGCACTGATAATAGTTTTATATAATTGGTTTATTAATTAAACTAATAAAAAGATAGATATGAGATATGTTTGGTAATTGTACCTGAATGAATTTAAAATTAATTTGCTATATTTCAGATCAATATATTTGTTTTCCTTAATTTTAATTAACCCTAACTTTATTCTCATCAGAATTATAAATAATTGATTTCCGTATAAAATCATACTACCAACAAATTTAATTTTCTTTTTTAATCAATGTGTAACTTAAAAATAAACAGATAGTGCTCTGTTTTGAGGACAAGAAATGAAAACCAATGCGATATGGTGAATGTCCAAAAGATGGAACACACAGACTGTTTTACAAAGGGGTTGGATAAATATGTTTTGCTTTTAAAACGGTGTGTACAGTTGTAGGTTACAGTTTGACAAGAAATACAGTGTGACAAAAGGACAATGTTGTGTTTTATTGCGAGTATAGGCCTACACAAATATTGTAAACACTTTGGAGACTGACTGATGTCCTGTATTAACAAAATGACGGAGTATGTTTTTATGTCTCCACTGTTCGATCGCGCCCGCGTGTCTCTCTCGCGCGCGGAGTCGGACACGGACACGGACACACACACACACACACACACACACACACACACACACACACACACACACACACAAACACACACACTCCAGCATTGCAATCTTGACATCGCAGCCTGTTCATTATGCTGTGTTCACATCAAACGCGAATAGAGCGAATTATCCAATAATGTTTCGCAATTCTAGCCTGCATGGCATGCCGATGAAGGGCACTCATTTTCTGCTTATCAATCGCCGGTCACTGATGAGAAACCCAGCAGCACGAGACAACGATGGCGCAACCAAACTTTTTTCTTTTTTTTTGATGGCGCAACCAAACTGACACGTTACAATGATTGCCTGAGCTTGTCACTCCCTACGTTGCTAGGTTACCAGAGAGCGAGTGCCTTTGTTAATGCAAACTTGCTTCGCAACCTGTGGTTTCTTCCGACGAAGAAAAAAAAAAATTATCGAACGTTTTATCGAACACATTTTTTATTGATATCGATCACGTGTCTATCGCGATACATATCGTTATCGTTTTATCGCCCAGCCCTAATACGAACTATCGCCATCTTTCACTCTAAACGATACATCCAGTAATTTATCAGGAGAACTCAAAAACATGAACACTTGTCTCCTAAAAGACATCACATGCTTAAGCGCAGGATTTTAAATCCTAAGGAAACCGTTCTAACTTCGCGCACCACTTTTTCGAATCTTGCAAGTTCTCTGACAATTACCTCATTTTCAATGAACGGAGGAACGTTTGAAATAACCCCTTTCGTAGCCGGAGCAAACAGCGGAGTAATATTAACGAAAATTTCTTTCACCCACAGACCGTTCTCAATTACCTTGTTGACCAATGCTTCTGTTTTTAAAAAAACAACAACAGCTTTATTCATTCTCGATGCCGAGATGATATTTTCATAGCCTAACTGCTCACCAACCGCTATCAAAACATCTTCGATGGTAGCACTCGCCTCTGGCACACACCTGAAACCATGGCGGAGGGATACTGACGTCCTTCCACCTGTGGACGCCATACCTAACGCCAGGTGAACCGTGCAAAGCACGGCACGCTAGGCCTACCTTCTAGAACCCCAAACAAATCTTTACAAACAATAAACTATATAAAAAAATAATAATAAAGAAGAAAACATACAAAAGAGTTTATAAAGAACAGCGCACGATAGAAACGCTCTCATACACGCACCCTCCTTACTCCCAACACGCACTCACAGAGAGAGAGAGAGAGAGAGAGAGAGAGCGAGAGAGAGAGAGAGAGAGAGAGAGAGAGGGAGAGCAAGAGAGAGAGAGAGAGAAAGAGAAAGAGAAAGAGAGAGAGAGAGAGAGAGAGAGAGAGAGAGAGAGAGCGAGAGAGAGAGAGAGAGAAAGAGAAAGAGAAAGAGAAAGAGAAAGAGAGAGAGAGAGAGAGAGAGAGAGAGAGAGCGAGAGAGAGAGAAAGAGAAAGAGAAAGAGAGAGAGAGAGAGAGAGAGAGAGAGAGAGAGAGAGAGAGAGCGAGAGAGAGAGAGAGAGAGAGAGAGAGAGAGAGAGAGAGAGAGAGAGAGAGAGAGAGAGGAAGGCCCAACTCACACTGACGGGAACAATATGGATCTTTACAGGTTCTGGCTTGCGGGAAATCTGTAGCGTTTGCACTTTTACCGGAGTAAATATTTGCCTGTCTCTGGTCAACGTTCAGTCTGCCTCCAGCTCTTCAAACAGCAGCAGAAGACCAGGCGAATCCAGCAGAACGGGTCAGAACTCACAACAGATTCACAAGCTTCTCAACACACACTTCAGAACGCAGCACTAGTGTACTTACTGTAAAGAGTGTGTACAGAGACAAGCGTTTCCAACCGTAGCATTAGTGGCAGTGCCTCCTCAATTTAGCACTTCCATTTATTATCTCTGAAATAAATATAGTAATTTTAGTCCAATTTAGTGTAAAATGTGGTCATTTTTGTGTCAGTTTTGTCATTTTAATCAAATAATGCATTGTGGGAAACACTTTCTCACACAGTTTGATCAGATTATATACAGTGAAAGTAGTAAGTATTTCAGATATATGGCAGAAGCTCAGAAAATCAGACTCCGACAGTGAAGGAATAAATAACCTTATAAATTTCATTCACTACACGAATGTGTACATTGTGCATAAGTACATAGTGAATAAGTGCATACTTTGGGTCACTCTGTGCCACTCTATACCAAACTATATGCTATTTTTTAGTATAAATACTGTGATTGGTGTTCATATTTAAAATTCCAAAAAGAAAAAGTGCACTTCAAACACCTGGATGGAATTAACCCAAAAACGTCACTTCATGCACTCAACTGTAGTTACGAGGGGGCGGGGCTAACAGACTGAACAGATGTTAAATGACAAAATAATAAACTTATAAAATTCATACACTACACGCCTACAGAGTTGAGTACATAGTGTCTATACGTAATTTGGGACACAATCCATCCAGCTCCTGCCAGTTGAGATCGTCCAATCAGAGGCTGTCAGCTTCAAAACAATCCGTCAATCATCAGTGTGTGCGGGAACACGCCCGAGGACAGTTAAAACACACACCTGTCTCATCTTTACAAGATGGATGAGATGAACAGTTTTCCAAGAAAACCTCTGCATGTTGGAGCTCCTTCCTCTTTCCTGATGAGTTTTTCTGGGAATCTTCGGCATGTCAGAGCAGCTCTGTGTACCCGAAACACACTGATTAACCCGCCTTCAAACGGCCAAATCGCTTAACTAAATATATAAAATCATTAAAAATGTATAATAATATCAGTTCTCGCACTTTAGATGACTTTTGCGTCGATAAAATAACTAATCTAATCTAGAGCTCCATTCGTCGCATCGCCTCAGAGACCGAGAGCTCCCGCGCATTCTCCGCGCGTGCGCAGTGGCCGCCTGCGGTCGCGCGCTGGGTCACGAGCACCAGAGACGCACGAGCGCGCGCAGCAGCAGCGGAGCTCAGCGATCATTCAGCAGGATTAACACTGAATCATGAGCGTGGGAAAACTGGTAAGATTGCGATGATAACACTTTCTCTCCGCGGTAATAATGCGCTTTGACTCGAGTCGAGCTGAGAGGCGAGCAAAGGAAGAAGTGTCGCAGATGTTAGTTGATGAGTTTTGTAATAAATCTTGGGTTTGTTCTGTGTGGGTCGCTTTGCAGGTCAGATTTCGCAAGCTGGTGTGTAAATACAAACTATTGAACTGTCCAGTGTGTTCACTTCTCCAGAACAACAATTCATACACAGTACAAGTCATGCAAAAGCCTGTTTTAATATAAATGACTAAGCATGTCATTACAGAAATCACTGTCATTATTAATGCATCTTATTAATGTCTAAAGATCCGTATTCATTCAAGTTATATAAAAGTATATGAAATTCAGTCAGATTTGATTCAACTTTGTATTAGTTGTCATTATTTAGAGGCTGTAAAACACCGAATAACGTGTAAATATGTTTAAATGAGGTACGCAGGATTTTTCCGAATCTTCAAAACGTCCATTTTTTTTTACGTTTTCTCTTGCGAACGTTGAGGAAACATTACATTGTATCATTTTTCAAACATTATGGGAACGTTACTTTTGAATGTTCTTTGAACGTTCTGAAACAAGTAACATTTAAAAAATGTCAGACGAACTAAAACGTTTCATGCACGATGTATAATAATGTTTTTGTGCTAATGTTTTGAGAACATCATTAAAGATTAGATCATATTGAACGAACGTTCTATTAACGTTACTGTAAGAACGTTCTATGTGTGTTTGATGATGTCATTCTCAAGGTCAGATGGTTGAAGTGTGTCAGTGATGAGCAGATGAAGAAATAGCTCTCCTCCCATCCTGACACACACTTAACCCTGAACACACACGTAACCCTGAACACACACACACACACACACACACACTTAACCCTGAACACACACTTAACCCTGAACACACACACACACTTAACCCTGAACACACACACACACACACACACACACACACTTAACCCTGAACACACACACACACACACACTTAACCCTGAACACACACTTAACCCTGAACACACACACACACATAACCCTGAACACACACAAACACACACGTAACCCTGAACACACACACTTAACCCTGAACACACACACACACACATTTAACCATGAACACACACACACACACACACACACACACACACACACACACACACACACTTAACCCTGAACACACACACACACACACTTAATCCTGTACACACACACACACACACACACACACACCTAACCCTAACACACACACACACACACACACGCACACACACACGCACACACACACACACACACACACACACACACACACACACACACACACTTAACCCTGAACACACACACTTAACCCTGAACACACACACTTAACCCTGAACACACACACTTAACCCTGAACACACACAAACACACTTAACCCTGAACACACTTAACCCTGAACACACACTTAACCATGAACACACACACACTTAACCCTGAACACACACTCACACTTAACCCTGAACACACACACTTAACCCTGAACACACACACACACACACACTTAACCCTGTACACACACACACTTAACCCTGAACACACACAAACACACTTAACCCTGAACACACTTAACCCTGAACACACACTTAACCATGAACACACACACTTAACCCTGAACACACACACACTTAACCCTGTACACACACAGACACATTTAACCCTGAACACACACACACTTAACCCTGAACACACACACACTTAACCCTGAACACACACACACTTAACCCTGAACACACACACTTAACCCTGAACACACACACACTTAACCTTGTACACACACTTAACCCTGAAAACACACACACACACACACACACACACACTTAACCCTGAGCACACACTTAACCCTGAGCACACACTTAACCCTGAGCACACACACGTTTAACCCTGAACACACACACTTAACCCTGAACACACACACACACTTAACCCTGCACACACACACACACTTAACCCTGTACACATACACACTTAACCCTGTACACACACACTTAACCCTGAACACACACACTTAACCCTGTACACACACTTAACCCCAACAAGCTATAAAATCAGCCAAAACAACAAAAAATCAACAGCTTCCCTCTTTTATTTCACCCCTGAAACAAATTTGTCTCTGAAGAACCAGGTTCCCTTTCGGGAACGTTGACTCGAATTGAGTAGCTATATGGTGTGGGAAAACTCCTTTTCTCGAGAATATTGAAGCCTTTATTTTAAAACGCAACCACAGTGCAGGCTGTCTAAGCGTGCTGATTGGCTGGGCTGCGGGAACTGCACAGACCTATGATGAAGCAGCGAGGACTCGCAAACCTATCAGGGCGTTCGCATCGACGCAACAGCCCAGCAGCGGATGCAGCGACCGGCGGCCTCCTGCTCTGCGTCCTGAAGCCTTTTCACAAGAACAGCACGGCGTTGAACAAGTGTGCAGTCCTCTTCATAGCCCCTCTCTGGCGGACCCAGACATGGTTCCCCGAGCTGCTAGGGACAGCTCCCTGGCCTATAGGACACCCTCACGCCGGCGAACAGGACAGTCTGGCACCCCCGTCCCGACTTGCGGCGGTCGTAGCAGCCCTCCGTGCTCCTGTGGCCGGCCAATCTATAAACTGATTGTATGCTTCCTCAAAGGGGGCAGGAGGCTCAACCCGCCGACCTCCCTCTGTCCCCCCTGGGACCTCTCCATGGTCCTCAGGGCTCTTAAGGGACCGTCAGCTTACTTAAAGCCACTTTCGCTCAAGACCGCACTCCTGCTAGCCCTAGCATCGGTCAAGCGAGTAGGCGATTTACAGGCGATCTCCATGAACCTTCCTGCCTTGAGTTTGGGCCCAACGTCTCCAGAGTCATCCTCAAACCAAGACATGGTTACGTACCCAAGGTGCTCTCGACTAGTGCTGCACGATTAATCATATCGCAATCGTAATCGCGATGTCAAGCCTATGCGATTATATGACGCAAAATACTGCGATTTTATATGAAATAAACAAATTAGGGCTGTTAACGCAGCATCTGTTATTTTTTGTCATCCTGTGGCTAGTGTTACATGATCCCGCTCTTATTCATGCGAATGCTTTAAACCATTCAGCGAGACAAGTCAAAAGAGAGCGCGCTGCCTGTGTGTGTCCTGACTGAAAGACGCGCGCCAGTATCATGCGCGTGCACAGACCGCGCGCCAGAATACAGTTTTGCCACACAATTATGCCAAAACATCAATTGTCGAGTGTCTTCATAACATAAGAGCAGTCTTATGATGGTCGTAAAGAGTTGAGAGAGAATAAAGCGCGTGTGAGATCCGCGTCTCTGTCAGCAACTCTTAAAGGGCCAGCATCCAATAATGCTTTCTGTCAGTAAAGTTAATCAAAGAACAAAGGGAACAGAGAAAAACACTCACTGCTCTTGACCAAAGAACTTGTGTAGCTTTAAATAGGATTTTAGTCCATATAATTTATAATTTATGCAGCGCAGACTGTTTGATAACTTTATTCAATTTCTGTATATGTCCTACCTGTAGACAGGAAGAGCACAGGTAAATATGACATTTATTATGGGTTTATGTGAGGATTGTTTGAAGTTCAATTAAATTAAAATTAAATTAATTTTTATCCAGACATCAATGGCTTATTGATCATTATAGGTGTTATCAATCATTTAGTTGTTGTTGCTAGTCTGAGTTGAGAAATACACATTTCAGAATTATCACTAATCTGTGTGTGCATTTTGCTTTAGAACCAAACAAGTTGACTCATGAAACCATTTGTTTATTATATCGCAATCGCATATCGCAATATTGACCTCAATAATCGCAATATGACATTTTCCCCAAATCGTGCAGCCCTACTCTCGACTCCGTTCAGAGCTTAAGTTATTTCACTATCGGCTCTTCCCCCGTCGGAAGATGATAGAGACTTGAATCTACTCTGCCCTGTCAGGGCTCTCAGACTCTATTTAGAGCGTTCTGCCCCGTTCAGGCAGCCGGAACAGCTCTCTGTATGCTTCGGTGGCCGCACCAAAGGGTCCCCAGTCACGAAGCAGAGATTATCTCGATGGCTAGTAGATGCTATCTCTTTAGCCTATGCTTCAATGGGCCTTCAATGCCCCATAGGTTCTATTAAACGACTTCTACTCCTCACACAACCTGGATTTTATGTTCATCACAGAGTCCTGGATAAAGGTCGGTGATTTAACTCCTTTCTCAGAACTGGTTCCAGTAAACTGTTCTTTTTTTTAACTCTCCTCGTCCGAGTGGTCGTGGTGGTTGGGATTATAACTGTCTTAAACAATTCTTTCTCCTCACGCTGCCGGCTAGTCACTGTAACGGCTTTCCCCAGCTTTGAATCTCAGCTTCTCCACCTTGACTGGAATGGTCTGCTTAGGGGTGATATATCGTCCTCCACACTCCACTAATGATTTTATACAGCATTTTACTGAGTTCATTGGCAGTATTGCCACAAACTATGATCGCTTCCTTTTGGTGGGAGATTTTAATATTCACGTCTGTTGTCATTCAAATTCCTTATCGCAGGAGTTTCTTGACTTAATAGATGCTTTTAATCTACTGCAGTGGGTCAAAAACTCTACGCACATTCAGGGCCATACATTAGACCTTGTGTTATCCTACGGGATCGATGTCTCTGATATTGTATTTTCTGATTATCTGCTCTCCGATCACAAGCCTATTCTATTCTCACTGTCTCTCCCGGAGCTCTCTCAACCCACAATTGCACCTGTTATGTCGCGGGTCTACTCTCCTCAGTTCAGCACTAACTTTGACCTGTGCTTTGCTGATCTATGTTCACACTTGGACTTGGACCAACCACTATCTGACCTGGATGCGGATCAACACTTCAGCCTTTTAAATTCTGCCTGGCTTAAGGTAGCTAACGTGACTGCTCCTTTCAAGCCTCACATATCCAAACCAAAATCTAATCTGTGGCAAAACTCTGACTCTCGTCATCATAGACAAATTTGTAGAGCGGCCGAACGCAAATGGAAGCGAGACAGGCAGATTGTCTCCTTCCATTTGTTCAAAGACGCTCTTACAGCATACCAGAAGGCAGCTAAGTCAGCTAAAGCTGCATATTTCTCTAACTTAATTGAATCCAACCACTCCAACCCAAAGGTCTTGTTTTCAGTCATTCAGTCTGTTATAAATCCTTCTTCTAAACTATCTGTTGCCTCTGATGCTCTATGTGAAGATTTCCAGAGATTTTTTGTGAACAAAATCACTAAATTAAGACTTAGTGTTTGCCCTAACTTAACTCTCCCCTCATTCGTGTCACCTACTACTTGTGTTTGGGAGGTTTTTGATCCTATCAACCTCCAGACACTAAAGGATGTGTGCACCAAGCTTAAACCTTCGTTTTGTCCAAATGATATCATTCAGCCGAAATTTCTAAAGTTAATCATCGACTCTGTGGGTCCAGGTTTGGTATCTCTTTTTAACAAGTGTCTCAATACGGGCTCTGTTCCAACTAATCTTAAAGTGGCTACGGTCACTCCTTTGCTCAAGAAGCCTTCACTGGATCCTTCGATTTTACAAAATTACAGACCCATCTCTGTTTTGCCTTTTATTTCCAAGTTATTGGAGAAAATTGTGTTTAATCAACTTCAGCACTTTCTTTCAAATAACTGTATCTATGAGGCTTTTCAATCTGGGTTCAGGACTGCCCACAGCACTTAGTCCGCCCTTCTGCGAGTGCTAAATGATATTTTTATCTCCACTGATTCGGGTGATTCTGTGGTTTTAGTTCTCTTAGACCTTTCGGCAGCTTTTGACACTGTTGACCACCCTACTCTGTTGGCTAGACTTGAGACTGAGGTGGGCCTAAAGGCTTCTGTCCTGTCATGGTTTCAGTCGTACCTTTCTGACAGAAAGTTTTTAGTTAAGATGGGTAATTTCTCCAGCTCCATGGCACCTCTAACCTGTGGTCTTCCACAGGGCTCCATTTTGGCTCCCTCTCTATTTTCTCTATACATCTTAAGGAAACATAGTGTATCATTTCATCTTTATGCAGACGACACCCAAATTTACATTCCTTTTAAAAGAAATAACCCTGCAGCGTTAAACTCTCTTCTATTATGCCTAGAGGAGGTAAAGGCATGGCTGGCTCAAAATTTCCTCTCTCTAAATGATGATAAGACCGAGGTCATTGTCTTTAGCCCGAGTGAAAGGTCCCAGTACATAAGCCCAGACTTGGGGAGTTTATCTCACTTTAAATCTACAGGAGTGCGGAACTTAGGTGTTCTTGTTGACCAGTCTTTAAAATTTGACAAACACATATCATCTGTTATCAGCTCCGGTTTCTACCAACTTCGCTTATTATCTAAAATCAAAGGCTTTCTTACTCCGATAACTTTGGAAATGGCGGTTCATGCCTTCATCACGTGTCGGCTAGACTATTGCAACTCACTTTACTGTGGGATATCAGTTTCTCAAATTGCCCGTCTTCAGTTGGTCCAAAATGCTGCGGCCAGACTTATCCTTAACTGTCGCAAATACGACCATATCTCTCCGATTCTTAAATCGTTACACTGGCTGCCAGTCCGGCAGAGAATAGATTTTAAAATCCTCCTATTTGTTTTTAAATCTTTACACAACTTAGCTCCAGCCTATCTATCCGAACTCATTCATCCCTATACTCCGTCCAGAAGCCTAAGGTCACACGACCAGGCTCTGCTGGTTGTCCCTCGTGTCAGACTTAAGCGTAGAGGGGAGCGTGCCTTTGCAGTGGCAGGGCCTCGTCTGTGG